CGGTGGAGGCTCACCTTTCGAAAATTTTGAGAATGATATTTTAAATTTTTAATTAGTTTTAGTGATTTTCTCCAATTTTTTTTCAAATTATTTCATTTCACAAATACCCATGAAAATGGTTGGCTTCTTAAATTTTTCTTGCTCCAGGATGCATCCATGTTTGGCAGGCGTTTGTTGTTCGGAGATTTTGTGGTCTATCATAAACTGAGTAACTGAGATTGTCGATTATTTCTGTAGGCAATAATAAGACCAAAAGTTTGAATTTTTTGGAAAACAGCTGAGCATATTGAGTTAACGACCCAAATGATCGACGGCTGGCATCAAATTTTTCAGGGCGGCAAGAAAACCCGTCTCGTAATCGGAAATAATAAATTTTGGTTGAAATTTTCGGGAAAAAAAACCTTTTCCAACAAATTTTGGTAAGCTACCTGGATTTTTGAACATTAGAGCCCAAAGTGACGGATTTTCGCCAAAATGTATAATTTCAACGAAACGGTTTTGGTGCCGTCTTGGATATTTCGTCGCACAAAATTTATTGGCAACGCAAAAATTGTACGTTTTTAGGGAGCAAAAAATCACCAATATATCATTATGCTGTAATACAAAATCTTGATAGTCCCTCTTTTACTGCACATGTCATCTTTTTTTACGTCCCGTAAAAATCTTGGAATTTTTGCAACAATCTGTTTCGCTTTTTAGCAGCCCGCTGCTAATTTTGTGATACTCTCGCGGATTTCTGATTTCTGCATTCAGTTTAGTTTGCTCATCGTCAATCGTTTCCAGTAAATTTGTCGGGTCAATTTGGATTTTGGTCGAAATTTTTTTGCGAAAATGTTTTTGTCGTTGTAAATGAGGTCGGGTTTGTGACTGTGGTTGCCTGAGTTTCAAATAATTTTTTTAATTTCTAATTTTGTCATTTATCTTCCGAGGCATTTTTGCAATTTGCAATTGGAATTTTCCGAGGCATTTTGCAATTTTCGCAATTGGAGTTAACACAGCAATAATGACAACTAAATTTGGTTTTGACATCTTTTTCAAATCTATAATGTTCATCGGTGATAAGATTTTGCCCAGCTCTCAGAATATGCTTGATCAACCTCAAGGGTGAGCAAAATGCTAAAATGCTATTCATACGATTCTCATTTATGAAAAAATCGTAGTCATAAAATTCCATACCATTTCATAGAAGAAAAAACTGTATGAACTTAGGCATGACTAGAAGTTTTTCCCTTAATGGAGTGGTTTAACTAGCAGTTATTTTTTTATCAAAAAACATAGCTGGTATTTTTTCTGTAAATTGCATGACAAACCTTATCACGGGCTCTCATTAAGAAAAAAACAACTAAAATCAATTGAAGCAACAAAACAATTTTCTGAACAAGTTTGTCATACAGTGTTCTTAAAAAATTGTATGATCAGCTTTTATTCATAGATTCCATTGATTGACTTTTATAATTTGTTTAGCGTTTGTATCGTGTAGAGGTCAACCTAAGCTAGAAACATATACAATCTGTTTTTTAGAAGCGATTATTTTAGGACGTTTATTTGGACGACTTAGGAGCTAATTCTGGGCAAACTTTGCGGTTCATTGAACCTTCATGACTTTTTTGTTGATTTAAAGCAACCAGATAAAACGAAAAAAAAACTGAACTCATTAAACTTATTTTTCTCAAGTTAAGTTTTTTAGACTAAAAGGAGGGAACAAAAACTGTCGAGTTTTGTACCAGCTTTTGTATGGTGCATGTACGTTTGATAAAACTGCACCCAACTTTTTACCCCTAAGAGATTTCAACCCTTCTCAGATTTTTTAACGTTACTTCGCCAAAATTAAGATAAAAATCTGATTAATCGATGAAAAAAAAACATCTTCAATTAACCCTTGTTTCAACTTCAATTTTAAAATAGACGTGGAATTGAGTCTTTCTTATGAAAAACATCCAAGTAAGAACTTCTCCAGAAAAAAATTGCGCTATAAGCAATCTAATCTCGTATTGAACAAAACTGAATTGTGTATTTTGTCTGATTTTATCTCTTTATGAAATATAAAAATGATTTTGTCTGGTTGTTAGCCGGGAATAATTGAAAAAGTAAAAAACTATTTAATTAATTGCAATCAGAAGAAAATGGTGATTTTAGCGTAGAAGACCAAATTTCTCAGGGTCACATATATTGCAGAATCTGTCATTAACTGCACAGCAAACGAAGTGTGCTTGTACTTCGTCGGATTCGGGTCAAAACATCTTATGCAGCCTCAAAATCAGAAGCAAATGACCATCGAAATTGTCAATTGCTTTCACAGAGCAAAATTGTGTGTTGTGAACAGCAGTTTTCGAGCACCAGAAAGTTGATAGTGCTCTTTGAGATTGGGATTGCCTAGTTAAGTAAGTCGCTTATCGGAACAATTGTTAATCATTTCACCGGAAGTTCAAAAGCATTAAAGGTCTGGGGTATCTTAAAACCAAATCCAAAACGACAGCTTGATTTCTGCTAGATATGTTTGAGGGGTTTTATGCAGCGTTAAGCCAAATAAGCTGCTCGAAAAGACGTTTTTACACAGACAAAAATTGGCTTAAGAGTTTTGCGCAGACAAAAATCTTTTGCAATCAATTATTTAGGAACATTGTTGTTCAATACCAGAAGTTAAATGTAAAATATTCGCATTTGTTTGTACGAGAGGTTGAACAAGTTTTTATCTGGGCATCGGATAGCTTCCTCTTTTAAAGTAATTCTAAGTTAATATTTTCGGCAACCATCTTAAAAAGAGTTACACGGGGCTTAGGAAATTAGACAAGCAATATAGACAATTAGAAAATGACAGAATTTAGACAATAACTTGTGTGAAATTTATTTACAGACTTCAATTAAATGTTGGCTGAGTAAATACTGGTTGTCCAAAAATTCCGTTTCCTTACGGTCGTCTACTTTCTTGTCGTCTAAGTTCCTAGGCCCCGAGTTGCACAAACTTGAAACTCACGAAATTAAACATTAAACGCTTATTTTTCGGACAAAAAGTACGTCCCAAGGTCCCAAAAGGTGTAGATTGCTCTTTTTCATTATAACTGCTCAAACTTTTTGCAATTTAATCCAGCAAGAACATATACGAGAATGAAATAAAATTGATTTAAATTTTCTGAAAAAAAAACGAAATCAAAAAATGTAGACGTTTTCTCATTTTGAGTTACGGTTGGGTAAAAAAGGCAACAAATAATGCTTCGAGTTTTTATGTGACTGTTAGTGAAGTAACTTCGGAACCAAAACTTTACAAGAAAATGAGTCATTTTGATTTTTCAATCGATCAAGAAATATGCCAAACCTACCAGGTCAGGGATGAGCAATATATACGAAAGTAAGTTTCAAACACAGCTCAACAAAGTTTTACATCGCATTATGTCCAAAAATTTGCGCAAAATGTTTTGAACTATTTTTAAGCAGAAATTGGAAGTTTACTTTGTAAAACTGACTTTTTTTAGCTATCAAACAAGTATATATATATATATATATACAATCAAGCAGGTTTTTTTTGGCGTTCTTACCTTGAAAAAATGTTGGGCGGTGTATGAGGCTCATTTGACACAATTTGATTATCATCTGTGTTTCTACTTTAAGCGTAATTCTTGATTGACTAAAAGAATCCGAAAAGATGTATTGTTTAGCGGAAATTTCGGTTCTGAGACTCGCAACATAAATATTTAGAAGTAATGGTAAAAATCTATAGAGAGTTGTAAATAGTGCAAAAGACGAAATTAATTAAAAAGAGCTAAGTACCCAAGAGTTCAGTCAGTTGTTGAATGAAAAAGTTAATTTTCCAGACAAAAACGTTTCTTAAGTCACCTGTCACTCTAATTTGCATGGAAATATTGGATCATGAAAAGCAGACTGCTTAGATAAAAAATTCTTCAGTTCCAACATTTACTATATGCAATTTTTGTTTTCATCATTTTTGTTTGACATTGATTCATTTTAAAAATTATTCTTTAAAACCCGTTGTAAGTTTCCAAATTTGTTCTTTTTTTCGGGTAATTTAGATCAGCTTCCTAAATGGAAAATTAAAAAAGCAATTCTGACGACCTCAATGCATAACATCTATTTAAAAATGTCTTTTGTTGCAAGCATGGTAAATCATCATACGGCCACTCTTACGACAAATTATGAGAGACGAAAATATAACGAATTTGAAAAAATTCGAAACAACTAAGTTTGATAAAAAGAGCAAATTCCTATTTTGGATCATTTTTACAGGCAAATAGTAATTTTTCAGAGAGAAATTTAGTCTGAAAGTCAACTACATATTTATAGTTAATGCCATATTGTTGGCAATTTCGGTGACCTTGAGCAGCTTAAACGGTCAAAAAACTGTTGCGTTCGAACAATTAGATTTTTTGAAGTGTTTCTTTAGTCATTGATTTGTCAAATGAATGAAAAATTTATTTCAGACGACACAATGAGCACTTTTAGGTTAACTAAATTCGTTCAAATTTATTTACCGAAAAAGATATTTCCAACAACAATTTGGCATTATAATAAGTAGCAAAAATTTGGAACAGAGAAATAATTTTTAAAAGCAACTGCCAATTTTGAGCAATTTTTGCATGCAAATTTGAGTTTTTAGGTGACATTGAGACTTTCTTTTGTCTGAAAAATTAGCGTTTGTATGCAAACACTGTCTGAACAAGGTCATTTGCTCTTTTGATTTATTTTTGTGTCTGAACTTTTTGCTACTAATTATATATATTTCTTTGCATGCAAAATCTGATCAAAAAGCAAAATCTGATCAAAATCTGATCAAAATTGGCGGATTGCTCTTTTCAATGACCTCTGCATTTCCCATTTTTTTCAAAACTTATGCTCAAATGAAAACGAGCAACGAGCGCCGGTTTGTTGCTCTTTCCAATAAGCTTTGTCTGCTTTTAGCGATTCATTTCATGATTAATTTACTGGTATAATTTAAAATTGTTTTGATGTGAACTGACTTTTCTCCATTGTTGATAAATATTCTGCTACATCGTTTACCAAGTTAATCTGTAAAGTTTCAACCAAAAATCAGCCAAGGTAAGGTCACAGAAATTTCCATAAAGACAAGACATGTTTTCTAAGTTATTGGCACATAAAAAGAAAAACTAAATCGCACAGCAATTCTTCATCAAGTAAAAAAAATAGATATAAGCAAGAACTGTTGTAAAGTTCGTATGCGACGCAGAATCTACGGGCCGTCATTTTTCATCGCTCAATTAACACGAAATTTATGAAACAACTTTGTTTGGTGGACACTTTGGAAAATTCGCGATAAATAAATTAGGTGCCGTTGAATTAGAGCGATTTTGAATGTAAATTAGTTGAAATTTGATCGGACTAATGAGAAAATTTAACAGGCGAAGTTGGAAAGTATCAACGGATTGTTTAGAGCAGCTATGGGGCTGAGAAATACGAGCATGTTAATTGGGATCCTTCTTGCCACTACAAGTATAGTCATGGTTTCTAGTCAATGGGATGAAGTCCCTGACTTTGACATGTGGTTCACATGCGAATCGTGGGAATTCAACTGCTGGGATGGGACCGGCGGAACTGGCTGCATCAGGTAATACGCGAGCTGTAATCATGACATGGAAAACGTCAAAAAAAGACTAGTTTTCTGCTTCGATATTTTGAATCCTGCATGGGCGCTTGTGCGGGTGGGGGTGTTTAAGCATAATACGAGAAAGGACGACGGCTCGCAATTTTCAAGGAATGCGAAACTTCGCAGCAATAAACACAAATATCTGAAACACAAATATCGCAGCAATAAACACAAATAAACATCTAGATAAGCGGCAAAGATGATTTAAACAACCAATTCCACCCCCCCTCCCCACCCAAACTAATGTGTATTTGGTGGTTCAGTTGGATTAGAAAAACTATCGCAGTAGCACTAATGATGTTCAGAGCATTCTGTTCTGCATGCACAGGATCCGGCTGTTTTTATCATGTTCCGCGTTTCATTTAGAAAGGCCTTTGAATGTGACGGAGGTCGGGATTGTGACAATGGATCCGACGAAGAAAACTGTCCGACAAGATCTTGTGCCTCATTTGAGTATCGGTGTTGGGATGGCCAGTGCTTACCCATGTTAGCTGACGCAAGAAGCTTAGAGTGCGACGGTGTTAATGATTGCCGGGACGGGTCGGATGAAAATAACTGCGACTCCCCTGTACAGCCGGGTTGTCCCGGATTTGATTTTGAGTGCTCGAATGGCCAGTGCGTACCCATGAAAGCTGACGCAAGAAGCTTAGAGTGCGACGGTGTTAATGATTGCTGGGACGGGTCGGATGAAAATAACTGCGATTCCCCTGTACAGCCGGGTTGTCCCGGATTTGATTTTGAGTGCTCGAATGGCCAGTGCGTACCCATGAAAGCTGACGCAAGAAGCTTAGAGTGCGACGGTGTTAATGATTGCTGGGACGGGTCGGATGAAAATAACTGCGATTCCCCTGTACAGCTGGGTTGTCCCGGATTTGATTTTGAGTGCTCGAATGGCCAGTGCGTACTCATGAAAGCTGACGGAGGAAGCTTAGAGTGCGACGGTGTTAATGATTGCTGGGACGGGTCGGATGAAAATAACTGCGATTCCCCTGTACAGCCGGGTTGTCCCGGATTTGATTTTGAGTGCTCGAATGGCCAGTGCGTACCCATGAAAGCTGACGCAAGAAGCTTAGAGTGCGACGGTGTTAATGATTGCTGGGACGGGTCGGATGAAAATAACTGCGATTCCCCTGTACAGCTGGGTTGTCCCGGATTTGATTTTGAGTGCTCGAATGGCCAGTGCGTACCCATGAAAGCTGACGCAAGAAGCTTAGAGTGCGACGGTGTTAATGATTGCTGGGACGGGTCGGATGAAAATAACTGCGATTCCCCTGTACAGCCGGGTTGTCCCGGATTTGATTTTGAGTGCTCGAATGGCCAGTGCGTACCCATGAAAGCTGACGCAAGAAGCTTAGAGTGCGACGGTGTTAATGATTGCTGGGACGGGTCGGATGAAAATAACTGCGATTCCCCTGTACAGCTGGGTTGTCCCGGATTTGATTTTGAGTGCTCGAATGGCCAGTGCGTACCCATGAAAGCTGACGCAAGAAGCTTAGAGTGCGACGGTGTTAATGATTGCTGGGACGGGTCGGATGAAAATAACTGCGATTCACCTGTACAGCCGCGTTGTCCCGGATTTGATTTTGAGTGCTCGAATGGCCAGTGCGTACCCATGAAAGCTGACGCAAGAAGCTTAGAGTGCGACGGTGTTAATGATTGCTGGGACGGGTCGGATGAAAATAACTGCGATTCCCCTGTACAGCCGGGTTGTCCCGGATTTGATTTTGAGTGCTCGGATGGCCAGTGCGTACCCATGAAAGCTGACGCAAGAAGCTTAGAGTGCGACGGAGTTAATGATTGCTGGGACGGGTCGGATGAAAATAACTGCGATTCCCCTGTACAGCCGGGTTGTCCCGGATTTGATTTTGAGTGCTCGAATGGCCAGTGCGTACCCATGTTAGCTGACGCAAGAAGCTTAGAGTGCGACGGTGTTAATGATTGCTGGGATGGGTCGGATGAAATTAACTGCGATTCTCCTGTACAGCCGCCTTTCTGTCCTGGAACTCATTTTGAGTGCTCGAATGGTGAGTGCATTGAATGGGCGCACACCGCTAAATGCAACGGTATTAATGAATGCAGTGATTGGTCTGATGAAAGGGGTTGTCCACCATCGCGTTGCTCTGGACAGTTTCAATGCAGCAATGGAGATTGCGTGGAGTGGCATTTGACGTGCAATAGGGACAACAACTGCGGTGATTGGTCAGATGAAACAGAAGCTGATTGCGACATGGAAACTTGTAACGGTTTCCAATGTGACAACGGGGCATGCGTTGAAAATCTGATGTATCTGTGCGATGATTGTGAGTATTATTTACTAGCTCAACTGCTTTTCTTCAAAAATCAAAATTTGTCATGTCACTGCTACTAAACGGAATTCACTCGACAGTTCGATTCGAAATTTTAATTTTAAGACAACCAAATTTGAGAAATTTTAATCTTAAGACCAAAATTAAAAAAAAACTGATTGAAGAAAATGAATTGCTATGGCTTTCTCAAACTATTTTGGCACAATTGAAATTCATACGTGTCTATAATGCATAGGTTGTGTGCAAAACTTTGACATCAACAGCAGTTTTCTAAACCTGTCTGGAAAGACCTTCCTAGTTAAAATGTGAAGGCGAGCTGAACCTTTTCGATCTGTCTTAGATGATGATTGCGGTGACAACTCAGACGAGAGGAATTGTCCCGCAATTCAACCGCCAGCCGGAGATTGTCCAACCTGCCCGTCCTCGTCCACAGGCCTCTGTATTCCGAAGAGCCAATTCTGTGACGGAAGACCAGATTGTGGGGATGCGATGGATGAAGACGCAGATGCTTGCAGTTGTTTCGCTAATCCAGGTTAAACAGTGGAAACCAACATCAACCAGCCGCTTCGAAATTTGGTCAACCAAATTTCGAAATAAGCCTAAGTTTTTCAATATTTTTCAGCATGAATAAAACTGTAGGTATATGCATTCATTCAAAAATGCATACTTACACCTTTGAGCCAAATTGTAAACAATTGCATGTTTTAACAGTCTACCGGAAAATGTCTACGCGACAAGTCTTTGAAAAATCTTAATCTTTTTTATCGTACCACATTTTTATCGTACCGGGAAATTTTAGCGCTCGATTTATGGGAGATTGCTTTGAAATTGAGATACAATGAGTGGAATGAGATGTGTTTACTCTTAAATAATATGCAGGCACAATTGGAACCTGATCTAAACTATATTTTATGATTGGATAAATTAAATGTTTTACCAATGTAAAGTATTTAATATTAACCAATCATGATCCATCTAACTAACAACCCACTTATTTGTAAGTGCTGAAGTTACTTGTAATTTCAGCACCAGAGAGATTTGAATTTAACTTAGAAATTAGTTGGACTCTCCCGAGCACTTCAGCAGCCGCAATAAACCAGTATACCCTAGATCTATTGAGCCTAGCAGAGACTAGTTAAACAACCTGAGACTAGATAGTATAAGAGTAAGATTAGGATCGGTATTAGACTAAGAAGTTGCACGAATCTATCCGGCCGAAAATAAGATAGCGTGACGAGCAGACGGTGTACCCTATCCGAAATTACTCTATGAGTTACACTTCGGTCCTAACTCATCTGGTGCGACCATAAGTCTCGAACAAGACCTTAATAGATTAGAATTAACCAAAATAGATTAGAAATTAGACAAAAACATTTACAAAAATGTTATACGACAATAATTTAATCGAAATGTCTCTACGACTCAATAGATCAGAGCCAATATTCCGAACCATAACAGAACTACCCGGAATTGGAAGAAGACCTCGAACCAAAGACGACATACGACAAAGTAGAAACTTGCCGTATAGTTATATGATAGTTCGGCAAAAGCCAGAACAAACTTTTATATTTCGAATACTACTTGCAATGAATTTAGATTTCCATTTGCAAACATAAAACCTTGAAGTTACTCTTCAAAATCATTTCAGGCGCTAAACAAATTTATTAATATACAATAACGATTGATAAAAAGATCTAAGATCGTTTTCCTAAAACTCTGCAGTATTATACAAAACATGTTTGAAAAATATTTATTGGAAAATAAAAATAAAAATTAGTAGCATGACAATAAATGGTTAGTAATCATAAATCATCCTGTTGTTCCAGCTTCATCATCTAAAACATAACAGCAATCATAAACCCACTAATATCATCAAAACACTAAATCTTTCCTTTACACACATTTAAAATTTTATTAAAACTTAAATTCACTTAATTTTAAAACCAGATCATCAAGGCTTATCCTTGGATCTTAAATCATTTTCTACTTAATTAAATTTCAAATTTGATCATCAAGGCTTATCCTTGGATCAAACAGAACAACTTTGTTCTCCCCCACCCACTTAATTAGTGTCTAACGACCTCAAACGTCGATTCACTACCCAACCCTTTCTAAAGACCTAAGACTAATAGAAATTTTTAAACAAAACTAATCATTCAAATTAGGATAAACAGTGAAGAACTTCGGTTATTCATCCTTCACTTGACCCCCCCTCTTACCAGACCCAGGATAAATCTTAGACTTAGTAAGTTTAAAATAGTATCTAACGAACTACTCGCGTTCTAATTATACCTGAACCTTGTGGATCGATTTACTATTCTCCAACCCTTGAACACAATCACTACCCCTAAGTAAGATTAAGTAAGTTAACACCTTAACTTATACTAGCCACGAGAAAGTAAAAAATCATTCTTCGGAATCGATATACTTTTCTCTCCAACCCTGAACAAACAGACCCAGGTTAAGCTAACCAAAAAATCGTAAGAACTAACAGTTTAGGAAAATAGAAATCATTTAACAACCCTTTGCATCCGTCATTCTAAACCTTATGTCATTTAAAAACCTAGGAAATAAACAAACAATCGTTTTACACAATTGTGAAATAGATAACAAAAAATACGACCTTGTAATCACACCTCATACACAAACAGTTGGATACATTCGAACAAAACGACAAACACTAAAAAGAAAAATAATAACGAAACAAAGACAAATAACACGAAAAAGATTTTCAAAAAATCGAAACGCATTTTCAGAATCAGAAACCAACAGTTTAGACGAACTTTACAAACTAAAAGAATCAATAGATAAAAATTGCCCAATTCACGATCAATTATATTTCTCTGACTCAGAAACAACTTCAAATTCATCACAAAGAGGAAAAAGAAGAATAAAAAAGCAGTACAAACACAAACCAGTACATTTATACAATTGGAATCAACCAATTCGACACATTAATAATTACATATTAACAGTAATCGAACGAAAAAATGAGTTCAACGCACACCCCAGGTGAAGAAACTCCAGATGATGATGAAATCTTTCCTTTTATAGTAGACGCAGATACTGATAGAGGACAACACATATTTTGTCAAAATTTACTCGTAAATTTATTTGAACCCGGAATCAGTCCATGTAAAACAGAGTTCCCCGATGTAAAAATCAAAAGACAAATCATAGATCACTATCTAAAAGATATATGCAACATAACACAACAATATGGAATCTACTCCATAGAATTCACCTCACCAAACCATAATAATAGAAAATATACAATTCAAACAGACGATCTTGATTTAGAATTTTCAAAAGTTTTTTCAGAATATATAAAAAGCATCCAATACCATAACTCACAAAGAGCAAACTCCATATTCACCAATGAAGTTTTCGCAATAATATATAGTTATATTTCGATATTAGAAAACGAAATCCCTATAACAAATGTCTCACCGACAGAAACATCTAAACATTTAAGAGTACGACATGAAATCACACTACTCTCTAGTTATTTAAACATCATTAAAGAAAATTTCACGAAAGACGACGTTTCACAACATACAAAACACGATCTACAAAAAATTTTGGCATGGTTCATAATAGATTATTTCACACACAATATTGATTTAATTGCACAAGCAAGAAAAAATTTTAGACCCCAAAATTCGAACGATGATACCGCTATCACAGAACAATCAGATTATGTTTGGGACCCCGAATGGTCTCATCCCGCATTTATAAGCTTTCCACAATCAATCTCAAGTCAAGCAATAGGTACAATATCTTACATAAGAGATTATGTAAGAGTAATACCATTAACAATTGATGCAACACCATTAAACTATAATACATTTTTACCCGATACACAAAATAATAGTTTAAACTCTACAGTTATACACAATGAAAACCTCAATGGAACTAGGAATCTTACTCAACAAGATATCCAGACACCATCACACTTCATAAATGAAGAAATTGTACACACAACAACTACACAACAAAGTATTTCACCAATACGCCCAAATTTAACAACACCAAGAAATACAAATCCTTCACAAACACAGGTAACCTTACAATCAACCGTTAAACCTTCGGTTGCCCCTAAATATTCACATATGGATTACCAAACATACAGACCCATGACAATACCATCAAAAACACGCAAAACATTCACTAGAAACAACTTTGCAGACCATAATTATAATTATACACATCCATCAAAAACATATAATCAACTACAAAGAAATTTTAACCAATATACAAGATCTCGAAATTGGGATAACCCAATGACCCAACCTAATTCAATAAATTTCCAAACAAATCCTCCACAGGATCACAGTGAAAATTACCCATTTTTCCAACAAAATAAAAATAAAAAACAGACATCTTATCAAATGGATTATTTATCCTCAGATGATGATTTCTTACAACCAGATATATTTGCACAAAATACTCAAGAATATCGTAGACAAGGAATACAGAGAACACGTACAAATCATAGAAATTTTTCTCCACAACCAATAGATGCACAAAATCAACAACCAATTCAACAACAAAATCCAATTAATACACAATCTTTTCAACCAATTCAACAACAAAATCCAATGACTGCACACTCGTATCAACCATCACAAATGCAAAATGAAATACCACTCCCATATTATCTCCAACAACATGAGATAACAAGAAACCAACTTTCAAATTTTTCTCAAATGCCAAATGCAGCAGAATCATTACAAATGACAATGAATCCATACCTTATGGGTGGATCATCAATAACATCAAACAAACCTTTAATGGTTTTCACAGGAACAGACCCTGAATACTCTGTAGAAGATTATTTAAATGCAGTAACAGCAAACCTGATTTTAAATATTGGACCTGAACCAATTAATACGCCACTACATCAAAATTGGATACATCGACGCACAGCGTTAATACAAACAACCTTAGATGGCGCAGCCCAAAAATGGTTTTCAGTACTACCTCTAGAAATAAAATCAAACTGGAAAAGATTTACACAAGAATTTTCAAAAATGTTTGACTCCGAAAGAAACAAACAACAACAAAGAGTTTTATGTAATGAAATTCGCAGATTACCAAACGAAACCATCAAGCAAATAGCAGTACGAATCGAAACACTAGTTCGAAAAGCATATTCATTAAATACACATGACTATAAAAACACAAAGATGACAGAAATCTTAATGATGACCTTAACACCACAATTAAGGAAAATAGCAATAAAAAAGAGAGCATCACATCCTTCTTCAATTCGAGAACCCGATTTAGATTTTCGAAAACTAGTAGACAAATTAGAACCAGCAGAAATCACGATGAAACTAGAAGAAACGGAAAATCTGAAATTACAATACGTTAACAAAATTGAAACGACTCCCACTAATATTAATAATATACAGGAATCAGAGACAGACCTCGTTGAAAAAATCACTGAAATACTCAATATCTACGAAAAGAACCCAAACTTTAAAGGCAAACCGTCTTTCAAAAAATGGTGTAATTATTGCCGACGAT